TGAGCCCACAGCCGAAGCAGACATGGATCTTTTGTGAAGAACATTTCGTATTGTCAAGCTGCTGCTTCGTAGACGCCTAATCGTGCCTATTTTAGTCTTCATCATGTCCATTATATAAGCTGTTTTGTGATGATGTAAGACAGGATGATATGTTGAACTATCCGAAACAGTTCTACGAAAATTTTTTTTTTTTTAATTATTAGCCTGGGAACAAAAGGAAGGAAAGCGAAAGACTAGTTAGGAGAGGGACAGATTATCATGGACAAGTGGTGAATATCTCACACACTCATCAAGCGCATATAAACCAGTAAATGCAAATGATCACAAATATAGTCGGGCTGTTTGTATTGTGTTCGGATGCCTCAGGACTGAATAATGAACAACTTTTTGAGTAAACAGCAGTACAGTAGGATTACACACTGTTTGTCATTATATATGCCAAATAGACTTTGAAAAGCTATATAGGCAACGACACCATTCTAAATCAGTTGGTTTCATTTCATCTGGACTTGCGATTCGTTCTGTACTTTTCTGAAACTTTACATTCTTTCGGACATTCATTTGGTAAATACCGTGATTGGTTCTTCTTGAGACACGACAGATTGCACAGTCACGAGCTGTTTACATTCGCATGATTCGTTATATAAAATGTTTAGACAAACGGAAGGAAACAAAGAATAGAGAGGGGGTAATCTTTATCAATGCAAAGAGTACAGATAAACATTGACCATTAGGGTATCACATATTAGTATTAGGGTAACAAACGGTAATTATATGGATCGCCCGTGCATTATTATTATGTATATACGGGACGGGTCAAGGCCCAGATACTCATAATATTGAATTTGTATGAATACACTAAGGTTTTTGATTGTATCACCACAAGTCGGAAAAAAAAAATAGAGATAGGGTAATTAATTTTAGCGCATATCAAAACGTAATTGAAAAACATGTAATCTGTTAATGGCAAGGGTCTAGTATCACATCATTGTTGTCGAAGGGTCTTGATCTCGTATGGATTGTAATTGTAACATATCAACAGTAGGCATTACTATTTCTCCGGAGAAAATCAAGGCTCCATCAAGCAATGCCCGGAGAAAGATTCCCCGAGCGACCAGTTCCACAATTTCGACACTTGTACATCTCGGACTCTCCTATTTTTTGAACGTTCCCACACAGCTGCAAGCTTTTGAAGTACAGGCCTCGTTTTGGATAATAACACGGACCTCTAATTCTTCTGCTTTAGCCACCAAATTGATAGTGGCCCCAGCAGAGCATTTTGCGAACGGTTTATCATTCTTGTTTTTCGATTTGCCATGTTCTCCACCTCAAAAGGAGGGATGATAATGGCATCGATTTCGCGAGTGAAAAATGCGACTCTTTTTATAAAGTTTGCTTGCAGGTGTTTGGTTTTTCGTCGCATTCGAGAGATTGCCTTATCAGGCCTGTTTCTTCTTACATTTCGAACTAGAGGCAGCCTTTATAGAAAGGAGATTGTCCATATGCTTGCATAGGCGAATAATTCGTCCAATGTCGTATTGGCCAATTTTACCTACGCCTTTAGTAGGAGAGCACCATGTGAAGGGTGTACGAATGCCAGGGTCGATGGAAACTGCATGAATATCCGCTTGGGTTTCGCGGAATTGTTTTTGCGTCTCGTAAACTTCCATTTGTTTGTTTTGCGAATATATGTAAGCTTACAATCGGACGTTATTTTGTGAGGAACAGGCCACTTATTATTACGCCTTTTTTTTTTTTCGAAATGAAGCGGCCACAAATCGCGTTTTTCGTCCAGAATGATAAGCATTGAGATGGTCACAACTTTTTTTTGCGATTATAACGTGAAAACTTCGTGAACTTCTGCGAGCCAGTGATTGCTGAACCTTTCTGAAGAGTAGAAGATGCCTACTTAATACAACTTTGTCTCTTTACTTAGCACAAGGCAAGAAAAGAAAGCTTGTTGAGTTGTTACACCAGCGATTATGACGATTATAACTGATGATCATGCTATTTTGAAAAGTGCTATATCTTGTACATAAGAATTCAAAAATTCATATCTCGACGCTTTTCTTTTATTTTGTTTCTCTACCATTCATACAGTTTTATACAGTTTTGATATGTTGGTATATTGTCAAGTCACGTGAAACTAATGAAATTCCTCCCTCACCGGGTAATTCTTATCATATTAGTATTAGGATTAGCGTTAGACACTCTCCCCGTTGTCGGTTTCGATAACTTCCATCGAGTCAACTTCTGCATCAACTTCCATGCCAGCATTACCAGCATCCTTTATCTTATCTTTTGCTCTTGCTCCTTGGCCTCTTCCTTTACCTCTAATTGTAACCCTTCCCCTTCCTCTTGCCCGATCTTCTTTCTTAGCTCTTGCCGAAGAATTATCTGATTGTGGTTTTCGATATACGGTTAGAGGTACACCAGTGCCAAAAGAGACACTTTTGGGAACCAGTCTCATCCTTGACATTGAAGAGATTAACCCTTCCATACTAGTGGGTTCATCGCGAGAGGTCGACTGAGATGTTGGCGAGGAAGGAAGAGATGCTGATTGGCTGTTTATCTTCTTATTACTATAAAAAGTATAGGAACGATATATCGTCAATATAGCAATCAAGCATGTAAATGTGTCATAGAGAGTATTTACGTGTTCCGTCTCCGTGATTGTGTTTGTTGACGGCGAATACTATATGGCACGATTCCGTATTTGATAATAGGAAAGTAGAACTGCTTCGGATATTTATGCGCGTCAATAGTATGCAATCGTCTCATTTTCACCGTTGAAAACTTCTTTTTACATCCTTCAACAAAGCATTCGTACTATTCATGCATAAACGAATTCAAAAGTGTTAGGTCATGATACCATACAGTATAAATTAATCCGCCAATCCTTGTTCACAACTCTGCCTTTATGCCCACGTCCAAACCCTATTATTAACCTACCACTTTCTCACCTCGTTCGCTTCGCAATTGTACAAAAGTACTATGAATCTCATTCAAATGTAACTCGAGGAACCGCTGCTTTGGGAAAACAGCCTTGCATTCCAAACAGACGTATCTATGAGATGCATTATAGTGTGATTCATATGCCGCTGCAGTTGGAAAGTATAAAGGGTTCCGTTTACACCAGGGTTGCAGTGTACATACAATTGGCGAAGTAAAACTACGATAAAGAGTGACATTATTTTCTTGAAACTCGCAACGTCGCAAAGGGGAACAATCTAGACCTCACATACCCAGTTATACTATCTATCTCCTCTTCAACAATATATGCTTGATCTTCAGGAATGATTGCTTGTTTCATTAACCATCGTGCACGTAGTTCGAGGTTTCCTAGTTGGAAAAAAATGTCGTCGGGTGAAAATTTACGCTTCAGTGGAAGAGATAATAGTGCCATGTATAATCTCTTCAGGATTTCTCACTTGTTGTAGCAGATTTGGATGATGCAACTAGTACTAGCTTCAATGCAAGGTTTAAAAAATTATATACTTTTGTTATATCACAGCCTCCGGCTATCACGTGCAATTATTGACAGATAAGGATAGATCGCGATTGAACTTTGACATTTAGCAGTCACATCCATGTTGCCACTACTTACACTCTTACGCCTCTACTATTTAACGCTGATCAGCACGTCATTTATATCCGCAATAATCCCAACCTTACGTGCTTCATTTCTCAAATATGGTAAAACATATTCCGCAGAAGCTGCTACTGCTCTGGGCAGAGTTACAGTTCATAAATCTTTATTCTGGCACTTTTATGTCATTGGATTCATTTGGGTATTCTTTCTCTTGGTTGACATTCTATATTTAAGATTTAGCTTTATACCATGGCTTGTCCACATATGGTGTGATGAAAGCGATTATGGTGCATATTACAGACAAGATGCTGAGGTGTGTCTGATAGGCTTGATGATGCTGTTTATACAAGTATCTAGGAGAGGTTATGAATGCTTCTTTGTGGAAAAACCAAGCAAGGATGCTAGGATGCATATAGGACACTACCTTGTCGGAATAACTTTTTATCTGGTTACAGGCTTGGCTGTATGCATCGAAGGTTTTGGAAATTTAGGCGTATTTGATATCAACGGTAATAAAAAGTAACTGTAGCGGCGCGGGACTTGATCCGATTTTGTATACGCACACGACTCACCATACTTTTATTCATCATAGCATCCCCTCTAGTGTTTCCATTGATAAATTCTCTGGTCAAACCCAAGATTGTCTTTTCTGCCGTTCTCTTTCTCATTGCTTCATACCACCAACACAAGCTACACAAAATATTAGCATCATTACGCGGACCAAACTCTCCCAAATACTCCGTGACCAAAGGGGATTGGTATGATCACATTTCGAGTGCACATTATTTTGCTGAAATATTGATCTATTTGAGTTTTGTCGTGCTTAACAGTGGGGGAAATATCACACTATGGCTAGCATTCTTGTGGACAATTGTTGGATTGGGTGTTACTGCCAGAGAGAATGAACAATGGGGTAAGGAGAAATTTAAGGAAGATTGGCCCCGAAACCGTTATATTATTATTCCTTGGATTTATTAGATCTTTAAAAATGCCAATAAAATGGGATATAACAGGGAAAAATAACTTGCAAGGTTGTGTTTCATTAATCCGTTTACGCATGATTCTAAAAGACCGATTCATTATTACGATGTAGGTTCACTGTGTATTATTATCGTTCCTTACACGCCTAAAATCAGATTAGTAGTATTAGGCAAGATTGCTATTGCCAGATTACAAATGACACGTTCCAGTTGAGATATTGTTGTACAAGAACTTAGCCTCCTGGCTTTAACAGTCAACTTTTAAAATCACATGCTTTAAAGCAAAAGTTCATTGTGAAGATGTAATAGAAGCTAAGCAGTGAATGACCGATTCAGACCAATACCTTGCTTCTACATAGACAATTGCACATTTACAAGAAAGGTACATATTGATTTTATTACGATCGAATTTGAACAAATCAATCCTTTTATCGGATAGCATCTGCGAAGCGTTTACTCACTGAATAAACTCGGTCCTTTTGTTTTAGGTTCAAAAGAACTGTTAGTTATAATTTATCTTGATCGATAACAGAAACATACCGATAGTTTACCTTTAAACCTCGTATCTTGTTTGATACTTCTGCTCGTTTTTCATCTGTATCGTGTTCTTTAGATCAAAAGCAATGAGTATCGCGTATAGAATCTAATTCATGCGTCGTTAAGAACAATTACACAAAACCCACCAAGTGTTGGTAAGTGTGATTCATATTCATCAATCGGTGCGTATTTCAACATATGTCTTTCCAGTCCACTCATCTCCTGGCTGATCATTGTTATTTCATTTGTGAATTCTTCCAAGTCGTAATTGCGACGCTTTTCCAATGTCTTGTAGCTATTCGAGTCAATCATCAATTACTCAGCACATTCTTTAATAAATCGGTTAAACAATTTAACTTACTTGGCAGTTAAACCATCTAATTTTCTTTGTAATATGTCAATGGTTTTACGCGACAAGGTTTCCACTTGTTCCTTCTCCAACTACAAAAAGAATACGATTGTTGAATACATTGAAGTTCTAGAAAATCAATACAATTTTTACCTTCAAGCTTCTAAGTTTTTCTTCATATTTTCCAGCCTGTTTTCGAAGTTCATTTTTAACGTTCTCGTACTCTTTCGACATTGTAGTTTCTACCATTTGCACCTAGATTTCCCATATTATTATTATCAATATTCGAGGCATTATTATAAATTTAGTAGCTGCATACCCTTTCTGATGCTTCTTTTCTCTCTTCTATAAGCATTGACTTCAGATCGGTTATTTCTTGCAATAATCTCGTCTCCTCTTCCTTCAGCTTACGTTCCTCTAATTTCCTATCCTTTCTTGTTTGCAAAAGTTCTAGGTGACAAGATCATCTTGTAAGAAGCTGTACCAACGATTGGGAGAAAAAGAAGTGTTAAGGTTCAAACCTCGTGTATTTTGTTTACAAAATTTCTCTAGCTTTTGAATCTTTGTGGTCAGTTCCTGTATTCTGCGCGTATCGTATTCTTGTTGTCTATTTTCTGCCTCAGCATTTGTTTGTTTATCCGCTTGCAAGCCGACTACGATCTCTTCATATTGCTGTTTCTGGTATATGCAATATCAGTGTGAATGCGTTTTCGATGATTGCGTGTACATATAAAATATTACAAGACGATATCGACCTGTTCCTCGCATTGCTTTTCTAACGCCTTCACTCGTACTCTTAAAAAGTCAATTTCATCGTCTCTAGAGTTCCTTTGTCTTGCCTTTTTCTAAAGTGAAATTCTCAGTATTCTGCGCAAACTTTGTATAAATCAAAGCAATCGTATGGGATTACCGTACAGTCGTAATTTCTTCGCCTTCATCGCCAGATTGATGCGGCTGCGTTATTGATAATAGATACCGGATCTTCCGTCGATCTTGGAACTCCTGAACTTTGGTGGATGTCATTGAAGTTGAGAACAAAGCACAGACTATTGTTTCTTCAAAGAAGATTACGCGTAAGATTTATACTTTTCAGATTGTCATTCTCGGCAGCAACCTTTATATAATTTTGGCGCTCGTTCGCGAAAAGTGATTGGACATCACTCAAAGTCCTGCGCACCTCTGTCAACTCTTGTGATCTTTGATTCAACTCCCATGTGAGCTTATGATGGTCTTCGAAAGACACTGTGCATTGATTAATCAATTCAATGGCGCGTTGATACTCGTCTTCAGATTTTTCTTTCCGATATAAACAACGAACAAGTATATGCGTGTCAGTGAAGAATTATGTCAATTTACTTCAGTGTGAGCATTGCTCGCACGCTTACATACCGACACGTTCCTTGTAGTAACATAATAATTTTTCGGATAATGGCAACTTGTGGATTTCCGTATATGAATCGACCATTTGTAAAGTTTTTGAATTATCAATCGTGTGGTATTTTCTTTTGCACGTGGCATTGATTGACAGGCGATCATCGAATTTGGTAACGTTTCGAGTTACTAAATTTGGTAGGGGAGACTCGGGCTTATCGCCCCCTAACAGATTTGGAAATTGGTTAATGTTGGGACGATGTTCATTGTCTTTTGCGATGCCTAGTACAGTAATACCAGAGTCTGGAGAATTGATACACGTAACAGTATTGATGGTATTGGCAAATTATTTGCTCGATTATAATAATAACGTTGAGCGAAATTGTATCTTAATCGCACAAGTAATCTCAAATGGCTACAAGAAATACTAATTTACCATATATGGTATCACCCCTTCTAAAGGGGTAATTGAAAATTTTATATTACCAAATATGGTAGGGACGATAAACTTTTTGTGAGGGCTACCAAAAGGTCAAGTAGTCCTGAAAAAGAAGTTAAGCGTTACACACAGATATTGGTATTAGTGTTAAAGTTGAGAATGCTCTCTCTCCTTGAAAACTTCTTATTCAAACCATGTCATTAGTTATAGTCCCAGGGGTTAATAATCCAGCAATTGACGACTTGGTTCAATCCTCCTTAGAAAGTAAAAGTAAAAACTTAAGACTTGAATGGATTTCTTGCTCATATATTACCGACATAGAGCCAACTCAACTTGACAACGTCTACTGTACTGGTCGCTACTATAACAAGATAATGGTATTCCTTGGAAGTAGCGAAGAATGTACAACAACCCTTGTGAGTGAGTTTGCCAGAATATACTCACTTCCAACACACAAGTACAATGACGACGACGTTAATCAGTTCAGAAGATATTCCAAATGGCTTGAGAGTCGCAACAAACTCGTAAAAGGATTTACCATGTATGATAACAAGTATTACATGGTTGCTGATAAACGCTTTTACCATCATTACTCTCGATATGGATTCTGCTCCGCATGTGGAATACTCCGATGTAGTCCTGTGTGGTGCGTTTGTGGACATAAAGAGTTATCCAATGGATGGACCAGCAACGATAAGCAACTCGATGACTTTATTAAGAACTCTCAATTACAAACAAACTCAGCAAATGACCCCTATTTGGAATGGATTCCATACAAATGTATTGACTATATACATGGACGCTTATGTGGTCTACCTACTTATGGAAAGAGTGAATTGATTTCACCACTTAAGATAACAGACGAGACACTAAGACATGATTTAAATTATGCCGAGGTAAACCATTTACTTATGCGTCATGTTTATTGAATAGTTAATAATTATTGACTTATTATCATGTATCATTTTCACTAGTTATGTGATAAGCATCCAGATATTCTTACCACTGATGT